CGCTTCTTTTCAATGGAAATGTACCGACAATCCACACTTTAGATCCATTAAGATGTACAACAACCATGCATATGTCATCAATACACGTATCTCGTAACAAGTTTTTAATGCAAGCTTTCATGTCGTACAGCTGAGTTATTCGCCCACTAATAACAAATACAAGTCTTGATTTTCTCCAATCACCAGATGTCGACTCTATCAATTTATCCTTGTTGACTTCTTTCTGCACCACACTTTCACGCAATGTTCGTAGGTGTTTAGTTAGTACAGTGATTAATGTTTTGAGAGTCTCTGCAATGTTTCCCTTTTCTGCACTTGAGATATCTTCACATTCAAGAGTAGTAAGTAATTCATGAACAACCCACTATTCTTGAATATTCTTGAACTTGGTTTTCATGAATAAAATTCATGAAATCATGAGTGTCCAATTTTAACTTCATAGGATCTTCATGAATATTTCATGAGCAGATTCAAGAATATAATTCATGAACTTTTCTTAAAAGTTCAAGAATTATTCTTGATACTCTCGCAGGGGTAATACTGAATTTAATGGGTGTAAAATGTAGGCGGGAATCGAGAGTTAGCGTGCGTAGTTCTTTGTCGGAATCTTTTTAAGGGCCGGACATGTATACACCTGGATAAGGTTTCACTGGTGGATTATCTGATGTCTTATGTCTCTGATATCTCATGTCTTGTGATCTTTTCGGACTTGGAGGTCTCTGAATTTCTTTGGGTTTTTTACACTTACAATCACCTGAGGTACAGGTTTTTTGTTTTTTTTTTTAACAACAGCAAATAGGGCTGCTCCAACATAGGCACAAAATCAGCTTTTCCTGCTTTACATTTAAAAGATGAATTTCCAATTTTTCCAGTTTTAATAATTGTTATATAGAGGCTGTTAGGTCATAAGTTTTCCCTCATTTTTACTAAATGTCTCATACTTGATCTATATTCTACTGCAACACAACTGTATTAAATATGTGGAGATAACGAACCGTATTCGAGCTCAAAATTCCATTACAAAATAGGAGCAGAGTAAACACGGACCTCTAAGACATCAATGATGGGATCATGTGCCATTTAGGAGTGAGCATCCCCTGCCGGCCGATCACACCCGCTGTGTGCTCCTTGTCATGATGGGAAATAACGGAAAAATCCGTAGACAATTCAGTGTGTATATAATGGCCTAACAATTAGTGTGTAAAAAGTCAGTTAGCATTTGACTTAAAGATAGATTGTATTTGCCGATAAAATCATTGTTTCGACCATAGAACTTTAAACGACACTGCTGATATTCTTGTTAATCAATTTGTTTTTCAATAAGTTACCCCGTTTTAGAAATTGTTTATAGGTAGAGCTTTATTTTGCATATCAAATAAACTGAGAGATATAAGCCCCGTATTCCATTTTTATTCATACTTCCAAGAAAATTTTCATCACAAAGTCTTCTAACCTTTTTAAGCTTCCTTTTGCACTTTTTTTTTTAGATTTACCTGAAACAGGGTCTTTCGAATAAAATAATTAAGAATGTTTTTCTTAATATCTAGACAATTGTCAGGTCAGTTTTATCCACCCATATTTAAGTGTTGAAGGATAAGTCACATATTCATCATCCTATCTGAACTGTCACTTGTGGCAGAAATATCTGCCTCACCACAATTTGTGACTCTAATTATTCTGTTCACTAGAATGTCCTTATTCAAGATTCTTAAGACCTTTGTCTGCAAACTATTTTGAATATCTAATTTCTTCCATTTTATCAGTATTTCAGGTATCAGAGCAGCATCACCTGTATCCCCAAAACTGAATCTATCTCACTCACTCTGCAAATAATTTATACAGTTATGAAGGTTTCATCCAAGTTAAGAACCTTTAATTTCCGTATTCTAATATACAATATGTTGACATTTTGTCTATTGAGTATTACTGAGTATTAACGAGGCATCCAGAAAATCTGGACTTTTCAATTACCAGCATTGTCTGCAAACATTAGTTGTATTGTCTATATCTGACTCACTAAATATCAGTTATTTTTTTACCATATTTTTTTTATAGATTGTAACACTAAATTCAGAGAAATTAAATTAGGGGCATGTTCATTAACCGGGTTTAAACTACAATTTTCACATTATACTTCCCTTAATAGTAAAATAACTAATTTTTGTTATAAATTATACGAGTTTTCCATCCCCTCGTCCCTCACGCCAATCTGTATTTATTTCTGAATGTTTATTTGCCTAAAAGTATACGAAATGTGTCAGCTGGAAAACATCATATGGATAGTACAGGCCCCACGATCCACTGGCACGGTAAAGTTGTTATATTGATTCAGTCACGTTATTCCAGGTAGATACTATCAAAAATAATAATATTCAGTCAATGATTTTACATTTCTTACCTGTATTGTACTCTTAACTCATCTTGTGTAACGCATGTTTAACAGTCACCGTGCACTGGAACTACCCAGCGTTACACCACCTTTTGCATATGAGCTTCGCCAGGGGCATTCCCTCTGTATATCGGTAAACTAGTCAACCATTAAAAATTGTCGCAGGCAGGCCGAATGGTCGCCCCATAAAAAGAATACAAGGATGTTCTTGGACTAAATTACATTTTATTGGCTTTGTACAAATTTAAAATTTCAAGATGGTTTCCTGTTTGGATTGAATGGCTTCCTGGACCAAATGGGATCTACAAAATTATTGTAAATTACATACATTATTACATTTGTATCTGAAATATACTGACTAGATTTGTGCTCGTGCATATTAAAACATTTACTGTATACTTTACATTTTCTGCATTTAACTGCAAATACTCTAGCATTTTACTGCACACTGGATTTTACTGCATTCTCCACACAATATACGAAATACTATACACACGTACTTTACACCAAACATTGTAGCTACCACATACTTTAATATAATTGTATACTATTAGAATAATACTTGAAATGATAGCACTGCACATATTACTCAATCACATAATTTATACCAAAATTAAGAACTAAGGTCCTTGGCCATTTCGGGAAACTGTATAAGATAAAAACCTTTAAATTAATAAAACAAACTTACCTCTGAAGAGATGTGAAAGTCTAGTCAATACTTTATGAAGAATACTATTAAAAATACTCGAGCAAGTCAAGTCCGTCTGCTCTACTCAATTGCTACACCCTACTGACTACAAAACGGCACTACTCAATTAAACCCGCCAAGTAAATTCTACTGAACAAATAAAATATTATGGAACATAGTTATGAAATTTAAGTTAGTTATTTACATAGCAGAAATTTGAATGTTAAACTATATGGAACCATGTTTGGACGTTAATTGTGACAAACATCAATCATTTGCCTTTGTCGTTTGCTTCAATTTATTTCAGAAAGTATAAAAAGAATTTCAGGATCACCAAATTGTGGTTTTCTGAATCTGTAACTGATGAGGCTTTCCATATATATGAGGCACGTTTTTTTCAATAGTAGGTCAAACTCCAAGGTCAAGGTCAAAATGTTAAAGATTTTTGTTCCCAAGGTAAGGTCTTATCACAAACAATAGAAATGTGATGTATGAAAGCCCTAGCCCAAGCACCAACCGTTCAAAAGTTATGACCAAGGTTAAAGTTTGGTAAGATTTTGCTGTTGTGGGTCAAACGCTAAGATCAAGGTCAAACCGTCAAATATGTTGGTATCCAAAGAGAGATCTTGTAACAAGGAATACACATGTGAAATATGAAAGCCATGCTCCAACCAATCAAAAGGTATGGACAAGGTTAAAGATTTTGAGGAAAAGTAGACAAACACACAGGAAGACAGTCAGGCGTGAAGACAGGGCAAAACTGTATGCCCTAAAGTCTTCGATTACGAGGGCATCAAAATGACAAAGTACTTGAAATACTGAAAAGCGCTTAGCGCATTTGTTAGTCTCTGTAAGGCATCATAGTATTGTTATTTGATTGATAAATGACACTTTAATTGGGATTGCAATATTTCTCCGATTATGGTATCAGTTATCGTTCAATGTAAAATACAGGATCCGGAATAATTTAGAAATGTTATCTTCTTTCCAAAAAGTCTCTATCACAAACTTTATTTCTGCAGTGCTGTTTTAATTTCCCTTGTGAGATCAGGCAATTAAAATAATACACCGCATTTCAATGAGAATAATCAAAGAATGACTTGTTTAAAACATGAATAATTATGTCTGTAGGTGGCGGTTAGCCGGAAATACGAAAATGAAAGTAAAAATTCTTCAGGTAAAAAAAGCACTGCAGCTATGCTTATGGCTTCATGGAACATTTTGTAAGATGAAGTATCTGTATGCGTTCTTTTTGGGACAGTAATATAACATCTTTAAGGTTTGAATATACTGAGTTGCATTGTAAGTACCCTTATAGTATTGTTAGATTGTCTGTATTTATAGACTGATTTAATTACATAATTGAGTCTCTTTTCTCAAAATAAGCCCGTACGTATTACGTTTTTCTGCTAATTTTTCATAAAAGAAGTCAGAGAATATTTTTAAAATATGGAATGTAGTCTTCATCTGCATTTACTATCAGAGCAATACCTTTTACTGAAACTACAATGATCAACCGCAGTTATAGAGGTCTCTCATTTCAATATTGATAACATACAATTATTCGGGTGTTTCATTCTTCTTTGTATATAGTAACAATATATAGGTACATATATAGATACTTTTATAAAGACAGTCACATCAAATATAAATAATTATTGTCATTTTCCTTAAACCATACATGTTTCATTTATAAAATCCTCTATCCCTTTAATTCTTATCAGTTCTGCCTGCTTAAAAATATCTGCGATGAGTTCAAATTAGACGAAATATTTTTTAATACGTCATTTTCTAAGATTTCGCCGCACATCTAAATTTTCAAAAACTGTGTAATAATTTATGTTAGATAATACATTTACTGGGTCAAATATTTAAGAAAGGTAAATATTTAATGTAAATTAAATTTAAACTTCTATATTTTAGGTCCTGGTTCCTATGTTGATCGTTTTGCTGGGTTTTTCCTTTATGTGTCACATAATAAATCAAAGGACGACAGTCATCTTTGTTTTCATGAGATTCAAACAGTAGACGGTACACCAACAGAGAACCAGACAATCAGCTGTCCTGTACATGGACGATACGTTATATACTACAACGAGAGGAGACCGGGTGTCACGTATCCAAGTTACTACTCTCGGCATGCTTTCAATGAATTGTGTGAACTCGAAGTTTATGGTAAGTCTTAAAGTACACTCTTATGTCTGCACTACAGATATATATTTAATGTTTTTGAGTGAGGTATTGATGTAACTATTCTCATGATGCATACAGTAAGTATGTAATTTATAAGTTTATGGCGATTTATTGAAATATGGTACCAATATGTTGTATTTCAAATATGCAGTAAATGATTTACTTTATCAAGGTTGCAGTAATGCAAGAAAGTATGGTGAAAATTGTGACCATTACTGTCCTGAAAACTGTCAGGAACAAATATGTAACATCACCACAGGAGAATGTTTGGGTTGTATACCGGGATATCAAGGTCTGAGTTGCAGCAGATGTAAGTAACTTACTTCAGCAACTATAAAGGTAGCACGGTAACTATATTAAGAATATTATATTAGGACAAGAACAAAGAGGATTCTTTTAAATATCTCAAGTAAAATTTTAATAATTTGATTTTTATGAATACTTCTAGCAAATTATTTCTTACTCTTTCAGCATGTGATAATCATACGTACGGTCAAGACTGTTCTCTATCATGTGGTAACTGTAGTGACGGAGAAACCTGTCACAATGTCAACGGCACATGTATCAATGGTTGTATTTCGGGGATGGAAGGAGAAAAATGTCTAAAAGGTGATACGCATCTTCCGTGTGAAAAGTGTTTTTTTTGTCTTTACCATTTCAAAGTCCTCATTCACTGAATTGAAGATACATGTACTACTTTTCCTATTGTTTTTAATCATTTAGCATTGAATTATTTTTGTGAAGTCCCTCATTCCATTGGCAAATCATTTTGTATATCCTTAGCATTGTCAAAGCGGAGGGCAAAGGAAATGAAATTTCTATGGCCGTAATAAGACAACGAAACATGTAGAAGCAAAGTTGAAAAAAGTGAAATGTTTTTATGTGTTCTTAATTTTGTAATCGAGGCCTATGTGTCCTAAAGATTAAAATGTCAACCTGTTAAGAACGGATTTTTTTCTGATATGAAAAAAATACTTTTAATTGTATTCAAAGTATTTGTTTCCTTTTATGCCTGGCTGAAGATTTGTTTTATTTATCAGATTTTTAAAAATTATATTCAGTATGTAATAAAGGTTCTTATGGTGAAGACTGTATACATAAATGCAGTGACGACTGTGGAGTACCAAACATTTGTGACAGGTTTACTGGGGAGTGTGAGGGAGGGTGTCAGCCGGGATGGAAAGGAATACGTTGTGATAAAGGTATATATGTTTCTCTGCTATATTCACAAGAAATGGTGGTATGATATTCTTAATAACCTTAAAGAAACACATGAATGGCAAAAACGTAAACATCAGAAGAGTTACTTTTATAGCAAACTTCTTATAATGGTTTGTTTACGCCTTTTATAAATAATACATGTAAATCATCTGACAATAGTGAATGTTGATAGTTTGTTATTTTTACCCAATCTTGAAGCATAGAAGACATTAATGTTATACAACATCCAGAAGCCGAACATCAAGTGGTTGTTAAATCAGCTGCGTCCATTTATCTATGCTATTGTCATTTTGGGAGGCAAAGCTTATTGTATTAATATCTTTACATGTAAATGAAAAAAAAAACGAATTTGCTTATGGTGTGTTACTTCTGTTTATATGTGAAACGAAGACAAAATTGCCATTATGCGTCCATAATTACTTTCTTAAAGAATGTGACGGTGGGATGTACGGTTATAACTGCAATGAAACGTGTGGCCATTGTCTTAATGACGCTCAGTGTCATCATATCAACGGTACCTGTTTAGACGGATGTTCTGCTGGATACGAGGGATCGCTGTGTGTCAGAGGTAAGGATTTATTATCCTTAGAAGGCATTTTTTATCACATGTTATTATGGTTATTTCCTTCAAGTAACAATAACTACTTTCAATGTTTTTTGCTTTATTGTCATTGCAATTGAATGTTGCGGAATTTTTAATGGATTTTATAAAGATTAAAAAGAGGGAAAAATGACAAAATATTCAATTCCCTATAACACACACAAAGCGGTAGAATACACAATAGGAACCAAATACACTTTCAATACATTAGCAATACCAACAATTACCTTATTAAATTGAGCCAAAAATTGTATTTTTAAAATTAACTTGCCATTTTTCCCCTCGCAATGTTTATTTGCATTATTTGATTTTCTTCCTCAAAATGGCTCTTACGTTTATAAGCCACACCAGTTCTGAAAGGCGGTAACGCGCGGTATTCAATTTCTCAGCACGACAAGATGCTATTATGCGACCAATGACATCCCAAAATAAGAATTCAATTCCATGCAATAACTCTTTTTAAAGTTCACTAAGTTGAACATTTCACAAAAACACACTTCAAACGATGATGTGTAACGTCTTTCCTTCATAAGGCGAGGTAAAAAATCAAATGAATAACGTTGAACGTTATTAAGTTACAATTGAACATATAGCGGACACTGCAGATGACAAAGAATTGTTCGCTTAATTTTGTACTGTGATTAAAACAATCTATTTAACTGAAATAAAAGATAAATATATGAAATTTCCCTATTTTATAGAATGTCGTCAAGGGCATTGGGGTATAAACTGTGAAACGAACTGCAGCACAAAATGTCTCAACCAGACATGTCACCATAAATCAGGAGTCTGTTCAGCACAGGTTAGCTTTTGACAAAAGTACAGAAAAATTTTTTGGGATGTGACCATTATTGATACATGTTATTCCTTGTAAATTTTTTTTTTGCTTTAAAGACAACTACGGATACCTTTCCATCGCTTCCAGTGATTGTTGGTGGCATCGCTTTTGTTGTTGTGCTCGTCATTGTATTCATTTCTGTGATCTTACTCAGACGGTAAGATGAAGGGAAATGAACAAAAAGTCAAAATAAATGCACATACAAGTCACATAATAAATTTTGAGAACATTTCTACAATCAATAAAGAGAAAAACTACAAAGTCTTTCTTTAAAAAAATAATATTTATTTATACAGATAGTTTTCATATGACATATTTTTCTCTCCGAGTTATTTCCCTTGGCCGACATCTTGGTGGTCAACCTAGTAATTTTTTCCTCTTTGTCTTACCAAATCTAAGAGGGTGTAGTAGAAATATTTGGGGAGACATCTTTATAGAATAAAAGTTATGAAAAAAAGGAGGCTTTAACAAATGTATATTTTTCAGAAAAACCATGCTTCCTACCCCACAATGGTCAGTATAAAAATTTAAAGTTGGTTGAATAATGAAGGAATAGGAGCATGTTGACCTCCAATATGGCGGCCAACGGGAAATAACTCTTGCTAATTTGGGCCTACTGAAAACTATCTATTGTCTTCATTTAAGGTCTAGTTAATCTGTTAATGTAAAATAATTGCTTGTCCGCTTAGCAGGCATACAACGCTGAGCTGACGTTTAGAGTTTTTAGTTTCATTGTAGTGCAAGAGCATCAAAAGGAAGTAACCACAGACAAATGAAAAAGAATAGTAGAATAGGTATTTTTTCTACCATGTTCTACATTTAGTATTTATTTTGTATTAAATTTCATCTCATACTGTAAACCAACTATTATTCGCGTTAACTTTTATTCGCGATTCGTCAGTTTGAAATCATTCTGCGACGATTAATTTTCGCGACTGAGGAAACATTCTCTACAAAAACAAAGCAAAATAAATGGTTTGCAGCGATTTATATTTGCGAGATTGAGTAGGTCGCGAACCTCGTGAATATTTCTCGCATGCGAAATAAAAGGTTTACAGTATTTCACAACTGTTTTGTCACTTAATTGTTAAAAAATTACATTAAATAGAAAAGAGAAAACTACAGCTTCGATAAGGGATATAATTTCTCAAATAATAGATATTGATGGTATTTTCAACATCATCAATATTTTCTTATGCATTTAGCCATCAGTTAGCATCTACCGGGTATATGTATCAAGCATAAGCCAATCAATATTGGGAGGTAATCAAAACTTTTGCCTGCTCTTTATTCCTCACTATTTGCCCTTAAATTTCACACAGTTCTTATAGACATTTGGTATCTATGTAATGAGAAAAAAAGGACAACTGAAATGTATTTAGTTCTTAGCTGGATAGCAAATCTTAACTAGTTTCCTGTAAGCTAATTAAATAAGGCAAATATTTTAATTAATAACTGTTTATTTTCAGAGGTATTTTATCGAAAAAACAACGCCGGTACAGTCCTTAAAATTTTAGCCATTCAAATTTTAGTTCACATGCATATCCATGTTTTCTATATTTTTATTTTTACATATTTTCCTCGTAAAGAGACTCCAAAAAAAAATACCTATGTGCGAAATTTCAAAGATTTTCACTGAAAATTATGAAAGATATAGCCAAATTAGTATTAGCCAATCAGAATCATATTGCAGAACCTCCTAATGCATAACTATGCTTTAAATTTCAAAGTATTTCATAAAAAAAAAAGAAAGATATTGAGATTTTTGTTTCAGCCAATCAGAGCGTAGCAAACGTGCATGCGCGTGCGCTCAAGGTCTTATTTAACACAATTATCTTAATATGTACACTACTAAGGTATATTTATATTCTGAGTTTCAAAGCATTTAATCAAACAATAGGGAACTTAGAGGTTTTTCAATTTTATCAGTTATTTCACACATCGCACGCTCCCGCAAGTGCATGCAGGTGTGTGCAAAATGACCCTCATTCCGCACATTTACACAACATGCCTATTAAGCCTTAAAAAGTTTCAACTCAATTGGATGAGCAGTTTCCGAGAACACTCGCAATAAATGTACCGGAGAAGAAATTTTCCAGAAAGAGAGTTTGTTTCTTTGTATGTTGTTTAACGTCCCTCTCGAGAATTTTTCACTCAAATGGAGACGCCACCACTTGCCGGTGGAGAGCTGCAAATGTTGTCCTATGCTCGGCACTCAGGGCCATTGAGCAGTGAGGGATCTTTTTCGTGCCAGCACCTACTGCGACACGGGACCTCGGTTTATACGGTCTCATCCGAAGGACCGATCTCCACGTCCCACAATGGGATTCGAACCCGCGACGTAAGGATCAAGTCCCAAAAAGAAAGTAAAAACAATATGTTCCAAAACTTCGTTTGGGAGACATAATAATAATCAAGATATGAGAAACTCTAATGATTGTCTTAAAATGTTACCGTCACCGTAGCCTAGTGGTAGGGCGTTGACGTAGTGATCGGGAGAACGGGGTTCGGTTCTCGTTCCCACGCCGCGTCAAACCTAAGACCTTAACATTGGTAGTGACTTCTCCATCGCCAAGCGCCCGGCACTAGAAGTGAAAGTCACCGGTCTTTCGGATGAGACCTTAAAACATCGATGTCCCTTGTCAAAGCAGGCGTTGGCACGATAAAGAACCCTCACTGTTTAATGGCCCTAATTAAGTGCCGAGTAAAGGCTTAAATTTGAAGCACTTCAACAGTAAAAGGTGACGTCTCATATTAGTGAAAAACTCTTGTAAGGGACGTAAAAACAAAGCTTTCTAATATTTATCTAGCAACCTCACTATAATTATCCGTAGAGTGGTTTTGTCTGCAAGCTTGGTTTTAACATCCAAAGAAAATAAAACTCAACACTGAACATAACCAAAGTCAGACGAAAGTACATATAAGTATACTTTTCATTCAAGCTACACCACCAACAGTGAAAAAGGACTTCAAAAATATTTATGAGAATATAGACGTAACTTCAGAATCCAGAAACACAAGTGGTTCTCGATATATTCCAAGATCAGGAACTCAAGAAATGAAAGCGAGCAACGTTGAGGTAGACGATGATATTGACAACGATGAGAAAATACATGACGAAAATCCATACGGAGATTTTTATATGAATGAGGAAACAATCCCAGATATTAATATCGATCAAATAGAAAACATTATTAGAGAGAAACAGCAAAATGAAGATGATGGCTTTCAAAGGGAGTATGCAGTAAGGATATCTAAAAGAATAGTTAATATATCCATAGTTAGTTAATACCTGTCTTCTGTTTTGAAGCAATTATTTTTTCAATACTTAGGCACTCCCATACGGGGAAAGATATCCTTGTAATGCTGGAAAACAACCAGAAAACATACCAAAGAACAGATTCAAGACGACATTTCCATGTATGTTTCTCCAAATTGATAGATTTTCGTATAATAAGTACATTTATACATATTACAAGTATAGGCAATCAAGCAATGGTATATATTGATTTATCTTTTAAAAACGATCATTACTTTCAGACGACCATTCAAGAATCAAATTGTCAAACAGTCAGTCAGACTATATCAACGCCAATTTTATTGACGTAAGTACATAAGCAGCTGACACTCGACATTTTGGTACGGTAAAATGATTTCTTACATTGATTGATTGATTAGCAGTATTTCAGCCATATTTTCGCGGATGAATTTAGTTTATATGATCATTTTTAGCTCACCTGAGCTGAAAGCTCAAGTGAGCATTTCTGATCACCTGTTGTCCGTCGTCCTTCCGTCTGTAAACTTTTCACATTTTCAAGTTCTTCTCAAGAACCACTGGGCCAATTTTAACCAAACTTGGTACAAAGCATCCTGGGGTAAAGGGGAGTTTAAATTGTTAAAATGAAAGGCCAAATCCTATTGCAAGGGGATATAATCAAGAAAAGGCAAAAATAGGGTGGGGTCATGAAAAAAATCTTCTTCTCAAGAATCACTGAGCCAGAAAAGCTGAAACTTATGTGAAAGCATCCTGGGGTAGTGTAGATTCTTAGATTCCTGGGGTAGGGCGGGGCCACAATAGGGAATCCAATTATTACATTGAAATAAATAGGAAAAATCTTTAAAAATTTTCTTCTCAAGAACCCCTGGGCCAGAAAAGCTGAAACTTATGTGAAACCATTCTTGGGTAGTGTAGATTCTAAATTGTTAAAATCGTGACCCACTGGGGTAGGGCGGAGCCACAATAGGGAATCCAAGTTTTACATCGGAATTTATAGGAAAATTCTTTAAAAATCTTCTTCTCAAGAACTACTGGGCCAGAAAAGCTGACTAAATCGTCCAGATATTGAAAATTTACGAATTTGGAAGAGGTACCCTCATCATCATTACTATGCAATTAGTTGAGGATTTTCAAAGAATTCACACATTTTCACTATATTAACAGAGACCCCCCCCCCCCCCTTTCAGAGAAACAACAGAACCCCTGGGGCCACAAGTTTTAAAAAAAATTGTAAAAGCATCCTTGCACATCTTAACTATACACTTGTTTCTTTGCTTTATAATCAGGAGTAGAAAAAATATTTTGAAAGAAATTATGAATTTTCACTATATAATCAATAGAGCCCCCCCCCCCTCCTTCACCAGAACCCCTTACCCAGGGGCCATGAAATTCACAATTTTGGAAGAGGCAGCCATGCTCATCATAACAATGTACTTAATTAGTTTGTTTCATACCCAGAAGCAGAGAAGAAGATTTTCTCAGATTTAATGCATTTTCACTATATAAACAATAAAGCCCCACCCTAACACCAGAAGCCTGACCCAGGGGCCATGAAACTATGTACTTAGTTAATTTATTTAATACCCATGAGCAGAGAAGAGGATTTTTAAAAATGTAATGCATTTTTACTATATAATCAATAGAGCCCCACCCTAACACTAGAACCCCTGACCCAGGGGCCATGAAATTCAAAATTTTGGAAGAGGCAGCCATGCTCATTATAACTATGTACTAAGTTACTTTATTTCATACCCAGGAGCAGAGGAGAAGATTTTCAAAGATTTAATGCATTTTCACTATATGATCAATAGAGACCCACCCCAACACCAGAACCCCTGACCCTGGGGCCATGAAATTCACAATTTTAAAAGAAGCAGCTATGTTCATCATAACAGTGCAATTTGTTAATTTATTTAATACTCATCAGTAGAAGAAGATTTTCAAGAATATAATGCATTTTCACTATATAATTAATAGAGCCCCATCCTAAATCTAGAACCCCTGATCCAGGGGCCATGAAATTCACAATTTTGGAAAAGGCAGCCATGGTCATTATAACTATGTACTTAGTTACTTTATTTCATACCCAGGAGCAGAGGAGATGATTTTCAAAGATTTCAAAGATTTTCAAAGCATTTTTACTATATAATCAATAGAACCCCGCCCTTACACTACAACCCCTGACCCAGGGGCCATGAAATTCAAAATTTTGTAAGAGGCACTCTTGCTCATCATAACTATGTACTTACTTAGTTTATTTAATACCCAGGAGCAGAGAAAAAGATTTTCAAAGAATTAATGCATTTCCACTATATATTCAATAGAGCCCGGCCCTAATACCAGAACCCCTGACCCAGGGGCCATGAAATTCAAAATTTTGTAAGAGGCACTCTTGCTCATCATAACTATGTACTTACTTAGTTTATTTAATACCCAGGAGCAGAGAAAAAGATTTTCAAAGAATTAATGCATTTCCACTATATATTCAATAGAGCCCGGCCCTAATACCAGAACCCCTGACCCAGGGGCCATGAAATTCACAATTTTGATAGAGGCAGTCTTGCTCTACATAACTATGTACTTAGTTAGTTTATCTAATACCCAGGAGCAGAGAAGATTTTCAAAGAAATAATGCACTTTCACTATATGATCTATATAGCCCCACCCTAGCACCAGAACCCCTGACCATGGGGCAATGAATTTCACAATTTTTGTAGAGGACTCAATGCTTATTACAATCATGCCAACAGTTTGACTGCTTGATGTTCAGGAGTAAAGGAGAAGATTTTTAAAGATTGCATTAATTTTTGTGGTTTTAGCCCCACCCCTCAGGCCCCAGGGGGGGCAGGGACCATGAAATTAATAGTTTTTGTTCCCCTTCACCCATAGATGCTATATGCCAAAATTGGTTGAAATTGGTTGAGCTGTTTCAGAGAAGAAGCTGAAAATGATTAAATGTTAACGCACGACGGACGACGCACGACGACGGACAAAAACGGATAGCAATAAGTCACCTGAGTGACCCAGGTGACCTAAAAATGCAATTTGTGCCACGTTTTCTAAGATGTCAGACATTAAAAATATAATAGAAGGATATGTAAACTTAAAATATCGCACAATTTTGGTAAACAGATTTATTTAAATCGCATCAATCCTGGTTCAAATGAAATAATTGTTATGTTCAAAGTTTCAAAAAAGAGTTTTGCTACTGTATGAATGTTAATGAATTACAGATATAGGACACCATTATACAATAGAAGCATAACAGGAAAAATATATAAATGAAGAGATAAATATAAAAAAGAAGTTATTGTCTTTAGAACTATTTAAAAAGAATAATTGATTTATTAAAGGAAAAAATATTTTTAACTTCTTTTATCAAAACAAATTATTTTGATACACATCAAGAAAAAGAAAACAAAACTTACATTTCTATAGGGCATATATTTCAAAATTTGATTACTGAAAGATTTTGTAAAAAAAATTGATGACATCCTGTGAGGCTGGAGCTACATACTAGTAAATAGGAATACATGACAAATTCGAAATCTTCTAAAACACTAATACATTTGAATATTTGCTTAATTAATACGTACATTTATTATTTTCTCGTATATGGAAATCATTATACTTTTAAGAAGCATAGCAGGTTATACTTAGTACATGTATTTTGTAGAGTGGCATTCATCAAATATTTTCCTTCATAAAATATTTTGATTTCCTTTCATTTACAGGGTATTAATGAAACAAACAAGTATATTGCAGCGCAAGGTACCAATTTTGTTCCTGTTCGTTCGTAGTTTTGATGTTTTTTTCTTTAAACACGCTTAACAATTAGAAAAAAGTAATTCCGTGCTAAAGATATTTATGTCTTTAAAAGGACCTCGTCAGAACACAGTTACAGACTTCTGGACCATGATTTGGCAGGAAAATGTCAACCAATTAGTTATGCTCACCAACCTCAAAGAAGGGAATAAGGTAATGTCAAGTATGATATGATATTGCTTACCAACCTGGAAGACTTATTTATATAAGGTTATTAGATGGTAATTTAACAAATTACTGAGAGTGAAATTTTATATATTGATTCGTTACCCAAGAACGGGCTCTATATTTGAAAACAAAAAATTAAACGAGGCAAACTACTGACAAAATGTTGATGATACTAGGATATTAACAGCCCGTTGAAAGTCAACATTTCGCCATTTCTTTGGTTGATGCAATGACATTTTTAGCAAATACAATCTATCGTTAAGTTGAATATTGACTGAAGCTTTTCATATACATTTAAATTAATAGGACATTGCTTTCATATTGTCTACAGATTTTTCCGATCATGATAAGGAGCACAAGGCATATCTGACCGGTCGACAGGGGATGCTTACTCCTCCATGGCACCTGATCCCACTTCTGATGTTTCAGAGGTCCGTGTGTGCTCTGCTCGCAAGTTGTATTGTTTCAATGGACTCTTTTGAGCTTGATTACTGTTTATTATCTTCATATATATTTTTTCTTCACATACCAGAAGAAACCAAAATAGCTATAGGATGTTGTTTTTGCCATGAGATTAGCTGCACATAAGCAGTTATTTTTTTTTTTGGTTTTTAACCCCTTTACGAAAAAAGAAATGTTTAAGAATCTAACATTATCGTACATCTACTTACAAGACAAAATGTTCCAAGTACTGGCCTGATCTACACCAAACTACTACTTTCGGTGTGGTGTCCATACAGTCGGAGGAGGAGCATGAATATGCATATTACAATATCAGGAAATTCAGAGTGACCCATCAAGGGGTAGGTCAATATAAGGGAAGATCTGCCATATTTGAAATTAATATTTCTGGTTAAAGTATTCTATAAAAGCCATTAGACAAAAGTCCATTCAGTTGATCAAAAAAGTCAGACAACGCATACTTTTTACCACATGATAATGTACACGCTGTCCAAAACACCAAAGGCAATTGATACAGATATATGTTGTTGTATTCTTTATTTTAATTTCTGTACTAATAACGTCAAAGACAATAAATTGATTGTTCATATGGGTCTTATTTTCTAATACATTTATGTTAGCTTTTTTCATGGGGAGAATTTTTTTTCTCTAAATAAAAGCACATTTGAAGAAGATATGCTTCTTTCAAAGCGTAAAATGTTTTGTACTTTTCTTAAAATTAAATCTTAATGACATTTATCAACCAAAAACATTAAAAGTTAAAATATAACCCTATTTGATATCATTATCAATTTTGAGAATTGTTGTTCCTTTATAGTAAGACATCTACAATATTTTGTTTTCGTTCTTTGATCAGATAAAGAAATCCCGCGTAGTAACCCAGTACCACTATACTGCCTGGCCGGACCACGGTGAACCAGAACTGCTCTGTCTTGTAGTTTTTCATGACCACGTGACAAGGACAGCTTATCAGCAAAATAGTGGTCCTACTTTAGTACACTGCAGGTTATAAAAGAACAAATTGAAATTTATTTTCATACAGTTTAATTCCCTCGATAAATAAATAACATATTTCTCGTCTTATAATCCTAGCGCTGGTATAGGCCGTACAGGTACATATATTGCTATAGACGCTTTATACAAGACGGGAAAAATAGAAGGAAAAGTCAACATCGCCGAGTACGTGAAGAAAATGAGAGAAAACAGAATGAACATGGTTCAAACTTATGTGAGTGATCTTTATGAATGATAAAATTTGCATAGTATTTGTCTAAAAGGAATGTATTTAAAAAATAAAGCTATAGAATTCTTTTTTGATCAGTTTGACGTGAAAATAGCCTTACTAAATATCTGTCAAGAGAGTCTAAGAAAAATTCTTTAGTTCCTAAAATGAATATAACAAATATACAAAAAAATATAAACTTGCCCTTATCCGTTGTGCAAAATTCGGAAATTGCTTATATTTGACAAATAAAAATTTTATTCTAAACATTTCAGGAACAGTACATGACTATTTTTCTAGCACTTGACACTATGTTCAAAGCTCCAACATGTGTACAAACCAAACATGAATTCTTAAGGAAAGCAGAGTTAATTACAAGAGATAAACCAGCCAACAAGAGTGAGCTAAGAATGGAGTTCCAGGTAAATTTTCAAACAGGGAAACTGGTTAGGTAAATTATTATTCAAGGAATGAATTTAATAGCTATCCAAGTTATACTGGTATAACGTGGGTTTTATAAAATAGCGTGAACTGTTCTTGAGTAACTATAACTTTAGTAGCTAATAAATTCTTTTCTTATAATTTAATTTTCCATCATTAAATGTAAAAAAAAATTAGACAATTTCTCCTTCAAAAATGCCTTCAAAATGTACGTATTTTAAATTTAACGTCGAGCGTATTCATACGCTATCGACGTAAGTCATTGTGACGTAGGCAACCCAGGTTATACGATATATCTTAATTTGTTCCAATCAAATGACGCGTTACAACCAAAAAAAAAAATATTAATAATAAAATTTATTAAGATAAACCATGATTTAATCGTAAAGCACATATCTGATGAAACGTTTGAAATGTAAATATCTAATGGACCATACTTGCAAATATCTTATAACAGACACATGTGAAATATCTGTGTATATACTACTTTTTTTTATGTCTCATACATGTTCGCAGTGTAAAAAAATGCTGAAACTTAACCGGAAGAAATGAATTAAATCAAATGTTTTCGATATTTAGAATATTCTACGAGTGCGGCCCTCGTACACAGAAGTGGATTACAAGATTGCAGTACAAAACGGGGATAGTAACGCTGTTCTTCCTCGTAAGCATACGAATTTGTAATTAAAAATAACGTTCATTTACTGAGCATGAGAGGAGAATGTTTCTTTTCTATCAATGTCTGTCTGCATGTTGTACGTATTTGACCGTTTATTTCACCTCTGGAATAATTTCAGATTACCCATACGACTAAGTGTTATTTGGTTAAATGAAATATGTGGAGATAACGAACAGTATTCGAGCTAAAAAGTCCATTAAACAATGAAAATAGGAGCAGAGCAAACACGGACCTTTAAGACATTAGAGATGAGATCAGGTGCCATGGAGGAGTGATTATCCCCTGCCGACCGGTCACACCCGCCGAGTTCTTCTTGTCATGGTCGGGAAATAACCGAAAAATCCGTCGACAATTCAGTGTGTTATAAAAGGACTAACAATAATTATGAAAAAAAGCCAGTCAGTATTTGACTTAATGAAAGATTATATTTGCTGACAAGGTCATTGTATCGACCATAGAACTTACGAAATGATGACTTTAAACGAGTCTGCTGATATTCAAGTTTCATCAAGTTGTTTGTCAAAAACTTACCTCTTTTTAGAAATTGTTCATACGTAGAGCATGCTCTGGCGTATCGAATCAACTGAGAAATATAAACACCGTACGCAGGTGATAAGGGTATATTGCTGCATAAGTAAGGGAAGTTTATGATTGAAAAGTTAAAGTCATCACGTTTATCATGAAGCTTTGTTGTTAGATTACTATTAACGTCTTTTTCTAATAAAATATCCAAATATGAAACAGATATATCAGACTCTGTGTTATCTTTTATCTCAAGATCACTGGATATATCATGTCGACATAAGAATGGAAATAACCATTGTTAATTTACAATATCGTCGATATTGTCGATATATCTAAATGTCAAATTGAAGGCCACAGCAAGTGTTTCTTTCTTTTCACGTAAACGATTTTGAACAAATTCTGCTTCATATGAATACAAAATAATCGGGCGCAATTGGTACTCATGGAAATTCCAATAGATTGTTGGAAAACCTGGTCCCAAAAAAACACATAGATATTGCCAATCAGAAACTCGAGCATCTATTTAAAGTTAACTTTAGAGTGCTTTGTGTACAATGAGATTTTTTTTATAACAAATTAATTTTGCAAATAACCGATGACAAGGTAATTAAATTACGAGTTCCATTTTTATTGAAAAAGCAGCTGTCAACGATGTCAGAAAATCTGGAAATTCATTTATCATGGAGAATAGTTGTATATAAAGTTGAAAAGTCGTAAGTTTTTATGTTGTTGAATTTGATAAATTTTTGTGATTTCAAATGTTCCAAAAGTTTCTTTGAATTTTTTAGTATCCACATCTGATTTTACACCACTTCTCGAATATATTGTTGCACAGTACTCGTGAAGTTTCTCCTTCACTACTGTTAATATCTTAGTGAGGTGTAAAGAAAGAGGCTTGGTTGAACATTTACTGGAACCCACTATGTATCTTTGTTTGTAAATACATGTATGGGTGGTGACATCAAATTTTTCAAAAGTCTATAACATCAAAACTTACGAATTTCTCTACACTTTATACAACAATTTCTCACGATAAATTAAAATCTAAACTTCTTGATATCATATACAATTGCTTCTTAAATAAAAACGGATTTAGGAAATTTTCACCTCTAGTGATTGGACAGAAGCATAATTACTATAGTAATTAAATAGTTATAAACCACTCTCATTGTACACACAAGAATTTTGAAGTTGGAACAATCCGTTGGAATACCGGTGGATACTAACTGTGCTCCTTTATTAGCTGACCTGTTTTTATATTCTTATGAAGCAAAATTTAATAATAATAAAAAAAAAACTTCTACACGAGAAGAGGAAAACACTAGCTGTGGCCTTATGGTCGTTATAATGACCTTATTAGCATTGTGTCGTTTTGGCTGACTTGTTTCATACCAATTGTTAGGCCTTTGTTTTTGTACTGAATTGACTACGGATAGTCCTGTCTATGTGATCAATACATAGGGTTCATGGCGGGTGTGACTGGTTAACAGGGGATGCTTTCTCCTCCTAGGCACCCGATCCCTCCTCTGGAATTTCCAGGGGTCCGTGTTTAATGGCCTCTTCATATATTTGTATTATTTATGGATTTTTTGAGATCGATCACTGTTCGTTATCTTTACCTTTTACATTTCTTACTGTGATGTACTGTTAAACTTAACTTAGAATTTTTAATGAGATTTAGGGGTTCAGTATCTCTTTATTGACACACCAGTGTTAAAGGTTAAAAAAAAATATGAAAATACATATTTCATTTACATATGAAATTAAAAAAAAGCATGCAAGCATTTGAGAAAAAATATAACAATTTGCATAATGTAAATAGTTTGATTAAAAAAAAATAAAAATTGAATTTACTACCCTAAGAACTTTAATACTATAGTAAACTATACTTGTCTTTAGTAAACTCTAGCTTACTATAGTATTTTTTTTTTGGTTAGGGATGTACTCTTGCCACTTTTCGTTATCAGATCACTTTGATCCATCTTTTGCCAGAGTTTGGCTATATTTCCCAATTATAGTAAGATTCAATGAGATGTCATTCATATCAGTGATGACAATTTTTTTTATTATAATATGGCAAGGTTTAATGTGAATTATACAAGTTGAAATATTTATGTCCCCTGGAATTTTGTTTTAATTTTGAAGGATACTTCAATGCAACAATCTGCACTCTCAATTCCTTTCCTGAACTGAAAAGCGATATCATGCATAGTTACTTACTTTGACATGTTGATATGCTACATGAAGGTGTCTGAGTAAATGACTCTGTATTGTGTACAATTTTTATAAAACCCAGTTTTCTCTTTTAGTTGACAAATACAGTATGTTCCTGTCGTCACGTGTACCAAAGCACGGGAATTACATCAATGCTGTTACACTCTCTGTATGTATATATATTTTTCAATCATGGTTCTTGTGAAGTAATGCATAACATTATGACATATAAAACATTATCAGAACAGAGCGTATTTACACAAGTATTTTTAAAGATACTGGCGAACAGGCATAGTTTTACATAACATTGTGTTTGCATAACTTTACTTGCAGATTGATTTTAAATTTATTTTAGAAATGCAGGAAAATATGTAGAAGTTAAAATTTTCCTACAAGCGTTTCATCCACCAAATCATAACAAAGATGCGCTTTGCTCTAAGACTTATGCACTTCCCCATTATAAATATAAATATATTTTAAATTTTAGTCTTACACCAATCGAAATGCATTCATAGTAACACATTATCCCTCACAAGAGGACGTTGTTGACTTCCTTCGCCTGCTCACTGATCATGAGTCAGATATTGTGATCTGTATGGATCCTCTCAGTAATATTGAATCAGTGAGTAAATAGATATCTTTTAATATTTTTAACAATAAAACAGAAATTAATAATCAACATAAGAATTTCAGTACTTACTTTATTTTATATCTTTTACAGAGAAAAGCATGGCTACCAGACATAAACAGTTCGAAAACTGTATCCCTATACACTGTACATAGCGAGCATGAACAATTAACCGACGTGAAATGTACCACAATCAGCGTTACACAGAAAATGGTAGGCACATGTAGTTTATGCTGGGTGACAAGTAAAGAAATATTTCCAAAAACAACCATAACTTGATAGCCATCAATCATTGAACAATTGGAATCATTGGAATTGGAAATTAAATGCAAAAAAAGTAAAAATAATGTCAGAAGTTTTAAAGTCATTTGATTTTAATTTGAAGCCACATAAAATGATTATGGCTCGACATTGAAAAAAACCCATTTCAAAATAGAAATTGATCTTTATACAAAGGTAGATCCTAATCGGCAGAAGATACATTATTCCTTTTACATCAAAGATCAGCATGTTTACTGTTATGCGTAAACATTTTGAATCAAAATCTTCAGAATTTTTTGCAATCAAGAATAAATTTTACACAGAACTTTCTAATAACGAGTACAATTATTGTATAGTCACTGGAATACAGTAAAGATGTATAGATGTTTTACAAAAACATCCTTTTCCTCTTTTCCTTTTCCTAATATACGAATATAAACACTATATTATTCAAATTTTCAAAATCACTTTGAAACACAAAGAATTCCTTTATTTATTTGTTTGTTTGTTTGTATGTTGTTTAACGTCCCTCTCGAGAATTTTTCACTCATATGGAGACGCCACCACTTGCCGGTGGAGAGCTGCAAATTTTGTCCTATACTCGACACTTACGGCCATTGAGCAGTGAGGGGTCTTTTTCGTGCCAGTACCTACTGCGTCACGGGACCTCGGCTTATACGGTCTCATCCGAAGGACCGGACTCCACGTCCAAATCCTTTATTTAAGATCAAATTGACTGTTTCAAGTATTGATAAATCAACCGCAAAATTCATTTCTAGTAGTAAAATTCCTTTGCTATTTGAAATGAGATTTGTAAGTCCTTTATACGATTCTTTAACCTTCTAATAATTGTCAGTAAGAATATACAATTTTACAATTTTTGTTTAATAGAAATTAATTTACTTCATGGTACATATGTTTCTTTTTTATCTTTCTCTAAAGGCGAACGTCGAAGAATGTTCAGTGTCAATTATAGAGCCAAAAGAAAGCTCGAAAACTATCGAACATGCCCAGGCAGTAGCGGAGATGATATGTTTGGTGTCCTTTGCTCTTCAAAGTGAAACAGAGGGTCCAATTACAATAATCAGCAGGTATGTTATGTTAAGACAATAATTATTGGAAACTTTTGAATGGACATACATTATGAATTGGTATCGCCAAAAAGAAAAATAGCGAGTTATCTTTTTCTTTTTTGCAATAGATATTTTTAAAAAATAATAACCCCCTAAAATGAAAGAAAAAGGGAGCAAGCTCACATACCCCACTTGCAAAAAATCGTCACATCAAAACTTCTTGCATATAAGGACATTCAAATCTTTGTATGTTATAAATTTAATTGGGCTGAAGTTTCTAGATAAATAATGGAATAAAAATTTCTTGGTAATATACAAATCTATACATTATGTCTTAAATACCTACAAAGTATCAGGAAACTCAGTGCATGAGTTTTCCTGACAAACTGTTATTTAAATTCCTCAGTGATTTTGATTTGTTAATGAGTAAGTCCATGTCCAACACATGACAATTTACACATTTAAATAATTGATGGAAACAAAATTATGATGTAGTCTTATGTATTTGTTTATATACTGTACTTATGAAATTATCTAAGGCAAAGCACCAATTTGAGAGGGGGGGGGGGGGTTGAGAACTATCCAAGATTTTGTGTGTGTTTGTGTTAAATCATTAATATTTTAATCTCAAAATCAATAGGGGTCTTTTAATGTCATAAAATATTTCACATAAAATTTCATTACAAAAGCTGATTTCAGTGGATTTCCTTATTACCTAGCTGGAAAGTTTCTTCAATAATAGGCAAAACTCTTGAGGCAAAAATAGTGGAATCTGAATTTCCTGGTATTACGGACATTTACACACTGCGTACTAAATATCTGCAAAGTTTAAGCAAATTCTGTGCAGCGGTTTAAGAGGAGTTGCGCTGACAAACTGTTCATCTCTATATTCAAGATATGGCCAAAACTGTAAGTTGAAAAGTGCCGAAATTCCCAAAAAAATAAAGAAATTGGAATTTTCTGGTAATATGCACAATCTACACATTGTGTACTAAATATCTGCAGAGTTTGACGAAATTCTGTGCAGCGGTTTAAGAGGAGTTGCGCTGACAAACTGTTCATCTCTATATTCAAGACATGGCCAAAAATTGAAGTTGAAAAGTGCCGAAATTCCTAGAAAAAAATAAAGGAATCGGAATTTCCGGGCAATATGCACATCTACACATTGTTTCCTAAATATCTGCAAAGTTTGACGAAATTCTGTGCAGTGGTTTATGAGCAGTTGCGCTGACAAAAAAAAAAAAAAAAAAAAAAAAAAAACAGGACTGACTGACTGACACACTGACTGACGGACGGGTCAAAACATTATACATCACGCAACTTGTTGCGTGGGGTATAAATATCGAGTTTCTAGAAAGTAGGTTCTGCGTTTGGTCAAACAGAATCTAGAGATATTCAATAATATATAGTACGTCAGATACCGAAATAACTGCTGGGTCATTCTGTCATCACAGAATATAATATGAATGTCATATTGACCATTAGGAACGTTGGACTGACCTGGTTATAAGTGCGTATATTGATTATGCTAGTGGTCGTAATATTTCAGTTTTACATTTAAAAAAGGGGAAACCGCCTATTTCCTTAATAATATGACTGATTTTTCAAAAAGAATACTGGAATTTTTTCTCTTTCTCATAATTGACAATGTATTAAAATAGAAAGACAAGGCTAGAATCTTTATTTTAACAGCCTTTTCCCGACTGTAGTTGTGCACATTAAGAATAAGTTTTGTAGAAAAATAAGATATACAAAATTAATCTTTCAACGCCATAACAAACACTTGAAAAACCTGTAATCACCATTTATTTACTAGATCTTGAAAATAATACATTAATGTAAAATATTAGTGTTATTTTTATTATAAGTGATAAAAAAGTCCTGTGTGGTGTATTTTGTGCTTTATATAACACACTACAACAATTGTCTATGGATATTAATATTATTTTTATTATTAGTGACGGGACAGTCCTATGTGGTGTATTTTGTGCTGAATAAAACACATCACAACAGGTTATGGATAATAATATCATCTATACTTATAAATTAATAAATTTTGCAAATAAACTCCGAAACGGATGCACCAGAGTTTTTACTTACTCCTTTAAGAATACACTAGATACAATATGATGTCCGTAAACTATATTTAGATTTAACTCGCAATGTAAGTATCGTACATTAAATTAAAAGTCTACTTCTATTTTCTATAAACAGCCATGAAATAGCAAAAACGTGAGTACGGTGGCGGTTCCGGTTGGCGGATCTAAGTTTCTGGCAATTTTCAATGAAACTGACAACAAGCAATCGTTTATTTATTTCATAAAACGTCATCACTGAATTATTCAATCAAAACTTGATTTAAATGAGATAAAAGAAATAAGTTGTGATAACCGATTAAAAAGGGAAATGTGCAAATTATTTTTGTCATTCACCGATCTCAATATTGACGGAAGCTTCTAGAACATCATATAGCATCTAGCACGATGTTAAAAAGAAAAACGAGACGATTATAGCTGCAGGAACGTAAAAAAAGCTTATGTGTGAATAGTCATTGAAATAATGGTAAATCATTGATAACACTATAAGTTGTGAATATATTTATATATTGAAAGACTATTACATATATGTAGATTTTCCTATAAATTTATCGGTAAAATGTGTAAATATTCCTCACTGAGAGCATCGTGCCAACAAACCCCAGTACAATTTCTACTTCGTAATAAAATTGCTTACATGAAAAGAGAAAATTAATGAATAAGATATTCCTCATAAAAAATTAAAGCTGTAAATTTTTGTGCTTTAATCAATACATTTCAGTTTTTTTCTGAATACAGTCTTTTGTATCAAATACTCGGCCTATTCATAGGGCGTTAAAAGCTCATTTTTACACAGGTACTTGTATGGCATGTCAAACGTTGCAATATTTGATCTTTTCCATTTGTATTGTATAATTTTTATTTGTATTGTTTAATTTTTCATTTGTATTGCATAATTTTACATTTGTATTGTATAATTTTTCATTTTTATTGTATAATCTTTATTTGTATTCTATAATTTCCCATTTGGATTCTATAATTTTCCATTTGAATTGTATAATATTTATTTGTATTCTATATTTTCCATTTGTATTGTAAAAAAATAAATCATTTGTATTGTATAATTTTTTATTTGTATTCTATATTTTCCATTTGCATTGTATAATTTCTTATTTGTATTGTATAATTTCTTATTTGTATGTGATAATTTTTCATTTGTATTGTATCCGCGGATTGTTTATTTATTTCGTTACGAATGACTTCATTGGTCATTAGTCTGTATAAAGTGTTCAAAATGAGCGAGATGTTTCAAGTGCCCAACACAAACTTAGTCTGGTACCCTTCCACATTCCAACAATTCCGTTCGCGCACTCTCTATAAATACAAACTGAGCTCCTCTATTTGCATGCATGCTAAGGGACGACCATTTGATTCTTCCGGGGGGGGGGGGGGCCTTTTGTCGAATCCGATTATTTATTTTCATTCTCTCGCAGGAGAGAATGTTTATTTCCAATATGACCAGAGACAAGGAGAAAAAGGAAAAGGAGAAAATCTGCCCAAACCCGAAAACTCAATTTCCTAGGGGTGGGGGTAGGTACCACCACTCAAGGTAAATTTATATATTTTCTCGGTCAACATTTCTAAGGACATATTCTTTATTTGCCATCTGCCAGCGCTTCCTTTTTAGAATCCAATGATAAATACATATGAGCCCGGTTTGCTTTGAGCACCCGGAACATCTCGATCGTTTTCAACCCGATACAGGCTAAAACTTGACCAATGAAATCCTTCGTAACGAAACAAATAAACAATCCGCGGATACAATACAAATGAAATATTATCGCATACAAATAGGAAATTATACAATGCAAATGGAAAATTATAGAATACAAATGGAAAATTATAGAATGCAAATGGAAAATTGTAGAATACAAATGGAAAATTATACAATACAAATAAAAATTATACAATACAAATAAAAATTATACAATACAAATGAAAAATTATACAATACAAATAGAAAATCATAGAATACAAATAAAAATTATACAATACAAATGGAAAATTATACAATACAAATAGAAAATTATAGAATACAAATAAAAATTATACAATACAAATGGAAAATTTTACAATGCAAATGGAAAAGATCAAATATTGCAACTTTTGATATGCCATATACTTGCGCCTTGGTTTATATATATGTATGTACCTTATTGATATGTAAAAAAGGTAAAGTACATTTTTTTTTTTACATATCAATAAGGTACATACATATTTATAAACCAAGACCCAAGTACCTGTGAATTCCCCCCCCCCCCCCCAAAAAAAAAAAAACCAAACAATCAATTTATCAGTAAAATGTGCATATTCGCTGCTTTTATCCTTGACGGAAATGAAATAAGAGCATCTGAAGTACAATGTCCATAACATAGTATAACAGGTTTCACAATAAACATCAATTATTGAAATTAATTTTTTTCAATTTTTAACAAAAAAAAGGGGGGGGGGTTGTTGGAGACGCGCATGCGGGATTTTGAACAAAGTATTTTTTCCTGCTATAAGCCTGTAGGCTGTCAGTAGAAACTACAATATATTTTCTGTCGGTAGTGGTATAAATTCAATTCCCCACGCTTGCGCGGGATTTCATCTAGTTTTTATTATCAGTGACAGAGCAGTGCTTTGTGGTGTAGTTTGTGCTGTATATAACACGCTACAACAGTTGTCTATGGATACTGATATTATTTTTATTATCAGTGACGGAGCAGTCCTATGTGGTGTATTTTGTGCTGTATATAACACACTACAACAGTTGTCTATGGACGGCGAGTTGGACATTTTCTCTACTGTCCGTCAGTTACAGATAAGACGTCCAGAACTCTGCTCCTCAATGGTAATTTCTGTATCATAAACATTGATTTTTTCGATAAATGATAATATTTTTTTAGTTCAATCTTTCGTGGGAACAGTGTTTCCTTAATTAGCATGTGGTATCTACTGAGTTCATTTCAAAATTATGGTAGGAATACGCTTCCATTGAATTTTAATTTTAGGATGAATACAGAATGGTTTACGATGTTCTGTTGAACTACATCCGGACACAAGGAGACACATCAGAGGAAAATGTTTACTACAACCAATAAATAGGATAATCTTATGGTACAATAGACTACTGTAGGCACAGCATTAGAGGAAGCAAAATCAGAACTATGAACATTTTATCTGCTTTTTCTATAATAAGAATAAATGATTGAATCCCTTTAGGTATGAATTAATAAAAAAATATGGACGAGGGAGTATTCTGATCATATCTTTTTTCAAAAGAGCTTCGATCGAGGTCTGTGAAAGTTTTGACACAGAGACAATTATATGTATTTGTGGTTTATGAATTTGTGCGAGCGACTGACCTGTCAATAAAATCAATAGCATTTTAAAAATATTTTCTATCCTGATTGAATGGTAAGGTATTGATTTCATACTGTCATACATTTTTACTTGTTTTGTTAGTTCACAGAAAGATATTACATTAAATACTGTGAATTAAATAATAAAATTTACAAAGAAAATCGTATTTACATGTGTAATAGATGATCTTCGTACCCTATTACATGTATCTGTATAATTTATTTAATTTTATATACATGTATTAAGAACCCATCTTTTATTTTCCATGGTTATTAATTGTCTTATATTTACATTTCCAAATATTTTTCCTTAAGATTCTTTGCAAAGTAGAAAAAGTTCACGTTCTCATGATCTACCATGGGATGAATAGGGAAATTTCCATTGTGAGGTAATTGAAGTAAAAAAAAATGTGTAAAACTTTTTTTTTCAAAAATGATCCTTGAATGACAGAGATATGTGGCAAGTCATAAAAAGAAAACATAAATATAAGATATGAATTTAATTTTTGATAGTTCATGAGGTACATGAACTACAACGCTTCACGCCTGCATATTTATCATGAAGCACCAACGCGCTTCATGAAATACACCGGCGTGAAGCGTCGTAGTTCATGTCCTCAGGAATTCTAAAAAAAAATAAATAGATTCCTACCTTAAATTTTCAACAAATTGCCAGAAAAGGTTTTATGACGCAAACAACAAATTCTGTTTAAAACAATCTCTCATAGGCTAGATGGAAACTTTGTTCAGTGTGTGAACCATTTTGGTTTTATAGTTATACGGTACTTATAATTCACCCCCCAAAAAAAATACAGGAATGTTTGGCTGCTAACCAGAATTATTGTACACTCAATCGGATACTCCGCACGCTGTGTATATATGAAATCGTCTGAGGTGGTCCGTGTGTGTAGGATAGCGAGAAAATAAGACTATAGGTTTATGTGTTTATACCGCATTACACAGAAGAGCACTCATAGGAAGTTAGTTACGCAACACTATGACGGCAAGTTGACCCCGTCTTTGACACACGTTTGAGCAATTTAACACAACCAATTGAAATATTTTTAAGAAATAAGGAAATCTATAATCCATCATCCTCTTTTCAAAATTAACAAATTGCATAAGAAAAAAGATTTATATTTACATGTAGATAATTAAATGAATTATTAATTAAAAATAAAACGTGAAAAGTCAATTAGAGAAAGACCTAAAGGTTTAAGATTAAGCTGTAATTTCTAAAAAAAAAAAAAAAAAAAAAGTAATTAAATACAGGTTTACTACTAAATTTTTAGCAGTTTCTGCCTATTTTCTGTCAGGTCGGGTAAGTATACATTTCAAAGGACGGAGAATTAAATTAGCGATTTACTTGATTTAGTCTTAGGCACTGAATAGCATACACATCCAAATGCCATACGTTTACAGCAAAATGCTTTAATACAGAAGTACTGATACGACGTGAAAATATAAAAAAAAATGATTCCAGGAGGTATTTTATAATTTTTCTTAAAATTAAAAATGACTTCAAATTGTACAAAATTTAAATGTAACGTCAGGCGGATCGATACGCTTTTAACTTAGTTTTTATCGTTTTTAACTTGGTTATGCCCTTGCAATATTGGAATTTATAGATGACCTCAACACTGCAGGTGAATTTGCTAAAATTACATGATTGCCGCATCACGTGACAAGTCTAAATAAGAAATCTAATCGTCCTCAACATGTAGAACTTTTCAACCACATTACATTTGTCCGATAATAGTAAAGTCGTAGAAAGAAGCGTCCATCCTTGTAAAGAATATTTGCTATCTAAAAAAATAATTTGCCGATATTTCCATTTGGCACCTTAACTGTACTGCGTTATCAAAGAAACTGCATAATTATAAAGAACGACTCAATCTATCAGACTATGTGAAATACATTTCAGCAGGAAACATTTTGCAGACCCAGGATGCGACATCTCTCGGGCAAATGTTTTCATTATCATCTTATGCATGTAGCACTCCATGTCTTTATGTCTATTACATGTATCGTTAGCAATTCATGTCTTTACTCGTAAACACCAAATTGTCAAACTGTTTTTAAAAAGCAGCTACGCTTCTAAGAAGGGTGTTAATTACATATCCTCTTCCAGTGGAATATTTGTATTCATATTGCTTATAAAAGTATCCAGAAAAGACTAGTAAAACTACAGTTAAATTAGTTAATAATCAGAAATTATATAAAATAAATTTCACAAATGCTTTTCATGTGTATATTTATTAATTCATGTACATTTAAAAAATTTTAAAGAGTCTTAAACATCTTAGAGAATTCCAAAAATGTTTTTGTTTATGATTATTTATGTCAGTTAAAAGTCACATACATTCATCAGTGTGCTGTTGTTACACTAAAATTAATAGTCATTTGAAAAAATATTTGTGCCTCACTATAATTTTTTAAATTATTTTTTAACCCCCCCCCCCAAAAAAAAAACGGTAGGATGATAAAAAAAAGCATAGAAGACTTTTTCAATAAGAATTTACCAATAAATTCCCCTTAAAAATTATCTTTCATATGTTCAAGCAATGATCAGCTGTGTATTTAACAATCTCACCCCACCCGCACTCAATGCACTTGTTTAATCGGCATTTTACTTACTTGCTGAAGTTGTCTGGTAAATTTTAATTTTTGTATAAAGCTGTCAGAATTTCTCTATTACACACAGACACACAAATAAAGTAGATCAGTTGACCAGAGAGGTGTACTGTATTATGCAGTTTGAAGTCATTTCAGAGCACAGGTGTCATGTTCAATAGAGCGTAACTAATCTCTATCAATCGTTTCCTGATAGTGAAATGCACGGATAATCAAGCCAAATAATGTACGTTGTTTTCACAAGGGTACCATTTAGGGCTTCTACATGGACATTTTAAAGGTGTAAAGATATCGTAGATTTGTATAAGGTAATATATGTACACAGTGAACATTCTAAGTAATAATGAATGAATATCATAAAGTACAAAATTTAGCTTTAAAGATATACACGCTATAACTTGCGTCAGTTAAAAATAAAGTTGGAAATTTATTTATTTTGTTTACCAAATAAAGTTACGAAAATATTGTAAATTACACAACTGGAAATGAACGCATTATAAAGATCTCAAATTATAATTATGTTCCCCAAACGAAGTTTGGGAACATATTGTTTTTACTCTGTTTCTTATTATTAAGGTCTTCCGTCTCCAACGGAAGACCTTATTGTTTTCGTTCGGTTTCTTTTTCCCTATTATTAAGGTCTTCCGTCTCCAACGGAAGACCTTATTGTTTTCGTTCGGTTTCTTTTCCCCTATTATTATTCTTTTTTTTTCTTACTGATTTTGTGCACGCGAGTTCTCGGAAATGGCTCAGTCGATTTTCACCAAACTTTCAGATCTGATAGATATTCATCTGAACCTTGTGGGAAATTTTCGTCGTTGATGTCGTCACTTCCGGTCGTGAGATATGGACGATTTTATGATTTTCAAAGGGTCGGCTTGTCCTGGAAACTCCTCCAAAAGGACTTAAGATATTGAATCAAGATTTTCAGTGAATGTTGAGGAAGGTTTGTAGATGTGCAGATGGGTGTCCAAATCTTTCTAGCTCAAAAGGCTCCGAAGCTCGGTAGGGCTCGAAAAAATGTCTCGGAAACATCTCACAAAATTTGACACGTTTTGTCTCATATCTTCGTATCTTTTAATATTTTGTTAAAACATATAGAAGAAAAGTTGTGCAGAATAATAAGAGCTTTCATTTGATATCAAGAAAAAGGGGCTGACTTCCTAAATAAGGGGTTTAGAGGGGCCAAAAGCCTTTCATCCATAACTCTTTAACTGTCAATATTTTGTTATCATTTATTGAAGCAAAAATGTTTATCTAAACAATTTGCAACTATATATAATAAAATTAAAATCATATATTGCGTAATAAGGGGCCAAAAGTGGCCAGAATGCTAAATCTTTGACGCTTTATATCTCGACAAGGAGAAATATTTTGATTAGGAATATTGAACAAAAGATGTTCAGAATCATGTTCTAAACTATATGCATACTTTCAATTTTTCCAAAGCGGCCCCATTAAGGATTTGAAGGGCTGGCCCCTAAATATTTCTATTCTACATATCTCGAAAACGAAAAGGAACTTCTGAACAATTGTTAAACAGAAATGTTTTAAATCACAAGACCTTTCAATTGATATGAAGAAAAAGGGGCTGACCCCTCAAATTAGGGGCTCAGAGGGGCCAAAAGTCTTTCATCTATAACTCTTTAACTATCAATATTTTGTTATCAATTACCGAAGCAAAAATGTTCATCTTCGTGATTTGCAACTATATATTATGAAATGAAGATTATATATTGCATAATAAGGGACCAAAAGGGACCAGAATGCTAAATCTTTGACACGTTATATCTCGACATGGAGAAATATTTTGATAAGCAATATCGAACAAAAGATGTTCAGAATCATGTTCTAAACTATATGCATTCTTATAAATTTTGCAAAGCGGCCCCATTGAGGACTTGAAGGATTGGCCTTTAAATATTTCTATTCTTCATATCTTGAAAACGAAAAGAACCTTCTGAAGAATTTTTAAACGAAAATGTTTAAAATCACAAGACCTTTCAATTGATATGATGAAAAAGGGACTGACCCCTCAAATTAGAGACTCAGAGGGGCCAAAAGTCTTTCATCTATAACTCTTTAACTATCAGTATTTGGTTATGAATTACTGAAGCAAAAATTTTTATCTTCACGATTTGCAACTATATATTATGAAATTAAGATCATATATTGCGTAATAAGGGACCAAAATGGGCCAGAATGCTAAATCTTTGACACGTTATAT